GATTCATCATTTCCGTAGAACCTGACACTTTAATGATTCGTTTATAGAATTGGCGTTGTCAAGGCTAATTCTTTTCAAGAGTAATTTGATCTCGGGTTACTGAGATTCTTTTATTTGTAATGTACTAAAATATTTCTGTATTTGAATTGTTTTTCGTACGGCCAAATGATATTATCTGCAAGTCATAGACGCAGGTGCAGCTAATGAAGCCATCGGTGACAAAATGTCTGCAGCAATGTTGCGATTTCGCAGTTTTATTGGCTACAACCAAAGATTTGCTTGTTTTGTTTTTTTTATCAAAGAAATTGCAGTTTGTGACAAATCTTCAATAAGGAATAATGACAGGATTCTCGGTTATGAGAAAAATGAAAAAAAAAAGCGTTCTTGTTCCTTTTTATTCCAATATAGAGTGCAGGAATAATTTTTTCCCTAATCAATAAGAACTATAGTTTCACAAAACGTAGGAACTTGGCTGCAATAAAAGATGAGGACGACGTTCAAATATTCATATTATATTGCCTTTATAATAGTGTATGTTATCCTCCTAAAAGATAAGTAGCGGTTTTGAACTGCTTCTTCAACTCGAGATTTTAGATTTACATTTATGTCCTTGTAGCAGATGTTTCTTTTCGTAATCGATATCCTCACCTAGTTTTTATCTATAAATCTATACAAATTAATGTTCGTAAGAAATTGTCTTCTTCATCTTCTTCTTCTTCTTCTTCTTCTTCTTCTTCTTCTTCTTCTTCTTCTTCTTCTTCAAGGCTCTACAGAATTTCGTGTCCTTTGTAGCTCTTTGTAGCACCATCCATTTATGCTAGTTAGACTATTTTATTCCACGGCGTGTTTGTTTACATTCCTCACCTATGTGCCTTGTCTGTCCGGGACCTAGGTAGTCATGCCAGTCCAGAATTTCTTGTGATCTTTTTGTCATCTCCCCTAAAGTTTTTCCCGTCATCCATTTAATCAAGATCGACAGGTTTTGCATTGTTTTCCTCCTCACCGTTTTACTTTCAATATCTTGTGAGTATCGAATTTTCCAAACACCCTTTCCTCCTTATGTGCGCCAGAAATTTCAACTGTATCTAATGTTAAGTTTAAGTGTCCTTTTTATTCTCATTGTCTCTAGAACTTCGTCGTTTTTCACATGCTCAGTTTCATTCTGTAGAACATTTCCGTTGCTTCATGTTTCTTCATCATCTGTGAGGGGATTACCCCGCATTCACTGTCATAGAGGAGCACTAATATTTTATTTCATTACGTTTTTTTATTTAAAGTTTCTTCTTCCTTTCGTTCAGACATATAAACAACTTTATAAATTTAATTGCAGTACTCGATTGGCGTCTAGATCTCATTAACTTTCTGTTGAGATGTAACTGTATATTCTATGTTAACAATTTCTTTTGTCGCACTTTCCGCTTGTGGAACTCCCTTTCGGCTCCATGCTTTCCAGCCAACTTCAAATATTTAAATTCAATGTCAATCGCTATCCACTGTCCTCCTGATTACTCTTTTTTTTATTCTTGTTCATTAGTAATGTTTCTGTTTCTAATTCTTCCACACTCAGTAACCACTTCTGTCTTACTGGGTTTACTGCCTTGCATCGAGTGAAGTCTAAGAAAAATAGATGTCATAGGAATAATTTGGAAAAATATAGATTTCCTCGTATTATTTGGAAACTGCCTTTTACTTTTCTCGTTTTAGCCACCTCCCACCATACGCAAGAATCCCCGATACTCACGACTGTGATTAAAACATTCAAGACTAGACATCAAAAAAGTGTCTGATTCAGATGATTAACTTGGTCGTGTATCAAAATCTTAGTGTGTAGTCACGGAGTATGCTTAGTGGCTGCATTAGTTTTATATTTCTAGTCCTGAATAATAAGTGATGTTCTTACTAAAATTTAGAATTTGGACTACTACCTTCAAATCAGTATATTTTTGACGCTTTCAAGCACTACTTCTCAAACATTTTCAGGCTATGGATCATTTTTTCTTCAAAAAATACAAATGGACCACTCCTACTTTTAATATTAGGGTGTTCAGTTTTCACAACTAAAATACTCAATGAAGAAACAAAGTAGTCTATTTACACTTTAAAATTTATTTTAGTAAACACTGGATATCAAGATCAATTTTAATGATGTCATTTAATCTTAGTCCATTCAGCTAGTGACTATCTTGATCTTGGTGTGTCTGGCACAAGGTATAATAATCAATTTTGATGGTGTCCTTCAGTCTTAGTCTGATATTTCTTCTGCTGTTGAAAGCTAATTTAATTCTTTTTCTACTGTAAACATCTACAACAGCCGAAAATCCAGATTCCACCCTCCATGTGGTAGGGAAAGAAATGATGCTTGCTTCCACATGTCGAGTCATTTATCGATATGTAGGCAAAGACATTCTTTGTCAACTCTTCTTCTCAGTTTCTCATTCTCTTTCAAGTTCAGCAAAATTTCAAGCAACTCAACATTTTCAATAAAATAAATATACCACTGCATAATACCTACATAATGTGTGTAATAAAAGAAAATATATTTTTTAATTTTTCAAAATATGAATAATTTTGATATATTTTTGTGAAATGTCTACAATTTTTTATTCTTACAATTTTTTATTTTCTGTGGACCATTAGAAATGCTATGTGGACCCCTGGTGGTCCACCTGGACCACTTTGAGAATCACTGCTTTAAAGCACTATTTTAATATTAGATTTTAGCTTTGCAAATAGGATGATTTATCAAAAAGATCTTCACCTGAATTTATGTTTTTGAAGCATATTTAATACTCCAACTAGATCACACTCATAAATTTTCAGAGCTAGTATTTCCGAAGCATAGAGTTGTCAAGTGCTCGTAATCAAGTAGATGTGCCTGGATCATAATGTACAAGTTATCAATGGATAAAATAAAATTGATGAATCGACTTTAAATTCATGCGTCATCTGTCACATTTACATTTTCACAAATGCTCCAAGAAAAGTACAACACTTCCCCTAACTATGGATTAAATAGTAATATAAACTTATCTCTCTTGCCTTAGATAGCGCCAGTCTATGAGAAGAACACCTATAGGTTCAGAAATGTGGAGAAGGCAACAAAATCAAGTTACTATCTCTCCTAAATAGTCATAAGATTTAACAGATAATAAAGAAATCGAATTTATGAGGAGTCATGATCGCCAAAGCCTTGAGGGGACGACGGAATTGAAAACAAGTGTAGCAGAGTTCTCTCGTATAATGCGCTTGAAAGCATCCTAGACATCAGCTTCTGACCTTTATTGTGTAGGCAGCAAAAGGAACAATCCAACAGACAAATTATAAATCTGATAAGAGATTAAAGAACTTAATTGCCAAAGCGAAACTTTCAGGTAGTTAAGAAAACTCAGCACAAAGACACATGCCATTTCTTAAACCAGAAAATATTTAATGCAGAATTACTTTGTGTATAAACGAGCTAGATATATTCTAATGTAAATGGAAATCTACTTCGTTTTAAAACAGGGATATCCGATGCATAACTAAATAAATATTTTAATGAGCATTCAATTTCAGGTTTGTATCAGCTATGCATGTTTTGCATTTAAAACCGGAAAGAAACAGTTTATTAAATGAAAATAAAACGCTACGTATTTTACACAGGAATCTAAAACATTATGTAACTCATTTATTTATTTATCGTTTCACTGAATCTTCCTTGTGATAAACATTTTATAATAATATGCATATTGTCGTAAATTATAAAGTAAATGTAATATAAAATAACTAAAACACAAGAAGTTTTAAGGAGAATTGGTACTTCAAAGAAACTAATGGTAAAAATCATAAGATGGTGTACAATTCTGGGAAACATAAAGAATTAATGATTTAAGAATTTCACACTCACAAGATTTATTGAAGGTAAAAGAAATACGATGGGAAGAGAAACTTTGATTGAATTGATGGCAAAGCAAGAACAACGAAGGGTAGTAAAGGAGTATACGTTACTTAGAGCAATAAAAAGCAGGACATTGTGGAGAGCTGTGAGCCTCAGAATCATGAAAGAATATCGACTATGTTAAAGTTATTTGAAATCAGACAACATAAAATAACCGCGCTGTGTTGTGGTGATATATTTTCGCACACAAAGAAAGCAGGACGCTGTTTTATCTTTTTGCAATACAGAGCGGTAGAGAGCATTTAAAGCTTGAACACTCCTTATAAATTTGGTCGATTGATCTTGTCACTAAAAGCATTCGAAAACGCATTTTGTGTGTCTTTTAACAGTTTTCTTTTCGATATTCCAATAGAGGATAGTTCCGAGGTTGATGTCAAGTATTAAAATAAGGGTAAAACGTTCGCCCTTCGAAGAGATAACGGGCTTATATAACAGAGACCCACCCCGTATTACCCGAGAGAAATATTAATCCTTTGAACCTAGGTATGTCTTAAGGGGAATTCTCTTGTACCAAATATCTTAAAAGTTACTTTCACACCATGTTTACTGTGCCTAATTCATATCGAGCGAAGCTGAATCTGTTTCGATCTGGTTTTTATATTAACCAAATTGCTTAGAAAGAGATTGGAAATCGTATATGAAGACTTTTGATCAAACACGGATAAGATTACTCGAAGTGTCTATTGGATAGGCCAATGTTAGCAAACGGCTGAACACATGAAAGACCTGAGCGCCAAGCGTAGAGCAAGCGTTAACAAACTACGATCATCTCCAAGTACAGGGAATTCGATTGTGCCCAACGGCTAAAGAAAAACTACCTTTGAAATATGCTATATAACGCACACGGGGTGCACGTTTGCGGTGGTGCGTTAGTATTTATGGGAGATGAAGAGGAAGGAAAACAGGGATATATATATATATATATATATATACATATATACATACATACATATATATATATATATATATATATATATATATATATATATATGAATCTTTCTCTCTCTTTCTCTCTCACTCTCTCTCTCTATATATATATATAGAGAGAAAGATAGAAAAAGATTCAATGAGATAAAGAAAGAAATTGAGATTTTAATTGAGAGACAAAATGAGAGAAAGTAACGAGAGAGAGAGAGAGAGAGAGAGAGAGAGGAAGAGGATATCGAAAAAGAAATAAAAAAATATAGAGCTATATGGAGAGAGTGTGCAAGGCACACAGTGAATTTGATTTATTTCCTATTCTCCCTTAGAGAATAACAGAGGCATAGTGAAAAGGAAATAAATCAAAATAGAAAAGAGAAAGGGAGGGGGAGAGAGAAAGAGAGCATGTGTAATGAAAATAGATAGGTAGAGAAATATAGAAAGAGAAATAGAAAGTGATAGAAAGAGACATACCGAGAAAAATCAAAAGATATATACTAACAAAGAAAGAGAGAAAGAGAGAGAAAGAGCAACAGATATGAATATGAAAGAGATAAAGACAGAGAGACAGGAAGGGATAGAAAGATAAAAACAGAGAGAGAAAGATAGTGAGAGAAGGAAACGTGTATGTATAGAGAATAAGAAAGCGATAGAATGGTTGTAAAGAGAGATAAAACTTGTAAATAGAAAGAGTAGATATATTGTGCCGGATTTTTCAAACATCTTTGCGAAAAGATAAGAACATTCGAATCGGGCTAATTTTTAATGAACAGAAAAGAAGTTATTATAACAATTATTTGATGAATAAAAATTTATTGCTGCTCTAAACAGAATAAAAACATATTTCTTTTCAAGAAGAATATCCTTTTTTTATAACATTCTCTACTTTTTGAGTTCCGCTGAGGCGGGAACGCTACAGACTTACACTAAATTAGTTCAAATATTTATGAAAATGCTTCCAATGGTGCCTACAGCTGGTAATGAGTCTAATTATTTAAAACATATTTTGGAATAAATTTTGAATTATTTAAATTTGATGAATGATTGAGACCAATATGTTTGTATTCTTGCTTTCCCACACTACAAGTTAAAAGATGAATTCCTCGTCATTTTTACAGTGTATGCTGCATCTAAAACTCTTCAGGAGTCCTCTCTGTAATATTCAATTCCACGCTGGTCAAAGTTAGAAATATTAAATGAATAAAAATGACAGCTTAAGACGATTATGAAATAACACAATAGTCTGACATAGTCCGGAGAATTATCGCATAATTACCCTAGTATCGATGGTAACGAAAGACTAAACAGACCTTTGTCTTATTGTAGCAAGTCAAGCAACATTATAAGGATTAAAGAATTTATCTGTATAAATGTAACATTATGTGCATCTAAAAGAAGAGCATTTTTAAAGGATTAGAAAAAAATCGCCTAAACACAGGTTATAGGAAAATATTCGTATTTGTCAAATGCGATCATCAGGGCATAAAAAAAATTATGTAAAGAATTCTTCCACGTATTATTCAGAGGGGCTTAAGATAAGGATGCGTCTTCTCACCCGACCTGTTCAACCTCTACAACGAGGCAATTCTCAGAGAATTGAGACGCCTACCGGGATTTAGCATTGGCAGCCACAATCTTAACAACATAATATACGCAGATGACAAAGTACTGATAGCAGACACGGGAAAGAAGTTACAAAATCTCCTACAGAAGGTAGCGACGGACAGTGTGAAGAAGGGACTAAGCATAAACTACAAAAAAAACACAAAAAAAAAAAAACAGAATGAATGGTCATCATTAAAAGGATGAGCCTGAAATGCGATTTGTTGGTCGAGAACACTAGAATCAAGCAAACGTTTAAAATATCTGGGAAGCGTTCTGACAGAGGATGGTAAATGCGGCATTACGATCCGTAGACGTATTGGAATGGCCAAGGAAAGCAAAAAGCTGGTCAGAGTATTGCAAGACAGGGGGATTTCTTTTGTAACGAAGAAAAGAATACTGAATTGTTATGTGATATCTGTCATTCTTTACGGCAGCGAATGTTGGATGATTTCCTCAAAGATGAAAAAAAGACGCCCGGCGACGGAGATGTTACGGAAGGCTGATGAGGATATCACGGACCGGTCTTTGAGAGGATGCAAACAAGGAGGACGCTTATACTTACCATCAGGAAGAGGCAGCTGAAGTTCCTGGGACACAAAATGAGGAATGAGTCCCTGGAGAATCTAATACGAGTTGAATAAAGGGAAAGAGAGTCAAGGGAAAAGAACATATGATATATCTAGCGGCCTTAAGCAAGTGAATAACAGAACGTGGGCTGGGGGAGAAAGCAGAGAGAAGGAACTTGTTTAGAGCTGCAAGGGATAGAGGGAGAAGTGGAGAGTCATGATCGCCTACGTCCTGAAAGGACACGGCACATAGAAAGAAAAAAAAGATATATTTGATAGGGTCAACTGACGGTCACAAGTGCCGCAAAAGAGGGCAAGGAAGAAGCAAGACGCGGCGGTGGCGACTTTTCATTAAACCATGACTTGACGAAATAAGCAATAGCAAGAAAGGGGTGACTTCCTGGTAGAAAAATGAATTACCCCCGTCCAGAATTCTTCAGTGTTTTTTTTTCTTTTGTTTGTAAGTGAATGGTATGGACGGAAGGTTGGTAAAGAAAGTCTTCTCTCTCACTCTACCATCTCCATCCTTGACAATAGGTTGCTAACAGTTCACAGCTAGGGAGAATAAAAATGGCCAGTACAAACCCCACTGTGCTGTGATATTTATTATTACAAGGAAACCTTTCGCATGGTGGAAAGATGACTTTTGGTTTTCTGTCAAAAATCAAGCAATGAGACTTTGCAGTATAAGGCCTGAAGACAGAAGATATGATTTACTAGGTAAACGTGACTGTAATTTGCTAAACACGAGTTTGAGTCAAATATGAGGTCGATTGAAACAATGTGGCGAGGGCAAAAACTGAAGTAAGGATTCTAGTTGAAATAATTCATCGACTTAAATGTTCTTCACAGAAGTTTGATTTCTGTACTGCATTTTCTCTTCTTCCTTTGTAATTTTAGTTGTAACTTCGCATCCATAGAAATTCTTAAAAAACACACAAAATACAAAACAAATACTCCCCAAAACTCAGAAAATCATAAAGAGAAAGTTATTAACTCATTGTAAGTTTATCTCTTCAAATATTTGTTTTAGATGTCGTTTATAATCTTTCCGAATGTGTGATCTTTTGGGTGACTTTGCACTCTTTATGCACAAAGGTTTTATCTCTCTTTCTAAAAATGGCGAAACATCTTAATTGATACTGCAATTTAATATATATTTATTTTGATTATTTACGAAACAAGTTCATTTCATTAATTTTTATTTCATATTTTGGAAAATAAACAAAATTTTGCGTTTTAAATATGAAAAGTTTAAAGCCGTCTTCAATAGAAGCCGTAATTTATAATTTTCCATTATAGAAAAGAAAAAAAAAACAAGTGAAAGATCATCTCTCAATGTAAACGAAGATTCCAATTCATTGAGAGAAAAGAATCCAATAAATTCAGATAAACTGAAATAAATCTTAATAATTTGGTCAAAGTCATTTTAATTGTTAATGAATATATTGTTAAAGGTTTGGTAGAATCAATTAAATTTGTATTGATTGATGATTAAAATCAAACTTATTTTTGGTTACATCGAACTGGATCTGTGCTGGAATTTTGAAGATTATAAGCCAACCATTATAGTAGACACGCTGTATGACAGATAAAGTTTACCGAACTTTGGTATAGTGGAAAATAATTCTTTGACAAATAAGAGCAGTTAACGTCAAAAGAAAGTTTTTGATGAATATCTTTTGAAGCTGAGGTGTTACGAGATTAGAAAAAAAATATTAATATTCATTCAATATCAAGCTCGAAAGCCACTCAAGATAGAGCTTTACAGTGTAGTAAGAAAATGGAAGAAATGAAATTTGGAGAGTAATGGATGAAAGATAATGGTTAACCATAGATTTGAAATAGTTAAAATTTCAGTGAATGGATAAACATCCTGCAGGAAGTTTTTTTCACATTGTATCCGTTCTTTGGAAGAAGTTCGTTTTTAATAATGGAATATTAAAGGAATGGGGATAATTCACAATTTATGTACGTGACATGGGCTGATCCCAGTTGTAAGGGTCAGAGATGGTGGTCCTACGGAATATAGCATATCAAAACACATGTCATAGAAATAGCGATAGGGGAAAGTAGCTCTAAAGTGTAAAATTATTCATCACCCACAAGTCCGCTTAGATGTTTTTGAACTCCATCAAGACAAACAAGCGAGAACTAGGCAGCCTCAGGCCATATATAGCAGCAATACTACACTTTTGTATTGGCGTTATAAGTTTATATCAAGCGATAAATTGAATTTCCATATGAATTCTTTAGAATTATATCAACAAATAAATTTGATGCACATGTTTTCAGTTACTTTTATGATATGTAAAATAATTTATAATGAATGCCATACAAAACCTCGAATATTTAGGGAGCTTAAAATTTAAAGTTTATTGCGAGTTTGTCATAGAATTTCAATAAAAAAGAACATGTAACACTGATTGTTATAAAAATTATAACCTTTTGTTCGTCATATACTTGTCACAAGAATTGGGCACCTCGACATGGTGTAATGGTTAGAAAGCTTGTCTTGCTAGATCAATTACGACTGAGTAGTAAGTTCGATCCTCACTGCGTGCCCAATAATTTCGGCCTTGTACCACATCTAAGCCGGGTTTAGAAAATCGCTACTTGTCACAAGAATTCGTTTTTCCACTCATTAAATGTTTAAAGCGATAGCCGTGTCTATATAAATACCAGTATCTCTATAAATACTAGTGTTTAAATAAATACCAGTATCTCTATAAATACTACTGTCTATATAAATACTAGTGTCTATATAAATACTAGTGTCTATATAAATACCAGTATCTCTGTGAATACTAGTGTCTGTATAAATACTAGTGTCTATATTTGTATCTCTATAAGTACTAGTGTCTATATGAATACTAGTGTCTATATAAATACCAATATATCTGTAAATACTAGTTTCTATATAAATACTAGTGTCTATATAAATACTAGTATCTCTATAAATCCTAGTGTCTAAATAAATGCCAGTATCTATATAAATACTAGTGTCTCTATAAATAGCAGTATCTCTATAAATACTAGCGTCTATATAAATATTAGTGTCTATATAAATACCAGTTTCTCAATAGATACTAGCCTCTATATAAACACTAGTGTCTATATAAATACTAGTGTCTATATAAATACGTGGATTAAAAAAATGTTTCCAAACCATAGTAAGACTAGTATGTTGAGTCTGAGACAGGAAATATTATTTTGGATAGTGATTACGTTAAAATGTAAAAAAAGAAAAAAAAAACAATTCACCCATACAAAACCCAAGAGCCTCTCAAAGTAGAGCTTTATTAAACGAGCTATGTAATATGGAAATAAGACGAATAAGCAGGAAATGATGACATCGATATGGCGGGTAGATAATTATTAAGCCTAGATTTGAATAGATTATGATTATACTGTTCTTGTAATCATTCACACAATAATCTGTTCCACAGAGTAGTGCTTCCTGGGATAAAGCTTACGGATTTGAGTTTCGAAACAGTAATAGTTCTGGAATATTAGCCGAGATATATCATCGACGTAACCTCACACGTCTTGGGTCAAAGTGATTAAATAATTA